AATATGTGTGTGGGGGTGGGGAGCTAGCTGTTGACTACCTAAAACACAGGAATTCAGGTTATGGGATGAAAATAAAGCTGGCATCTTACCAACAGTAGCAGATATGCCCAGGTAACTAACAGTGGTCCAGAAAATGGCCATTAGTGTGCCTCTTGGGATTGCTTTTTCAGGATCCTTTGCAAAATCACAGACATACATAAATTCAACCATTTCATGATAATCTCTCCCTGTGGTAAATGCAATGATCAACCTGTAAATTACATTACTCATGGATATTTATACCTTTAGGTCTCCAGAAATGTTGGCACCAGACAAGATGCCAATAGCAGAGGGGAAGAAGATAGCAAACATCTGTAAGAAACTTCCTTCTGGTCCTCGCCAGTTTGGCATCAAATTGCTGAGAAAAATTTCATCTGTAACAGGACATACCAAACTTTACTTAGTAAATGATGCAATAATGTTGAGCAATTAATCAAACTTTTGTCCCTTTGCTTTATTTTCCAGTTGGACTAAGTGGGTTAACACACAGTGGCCTATGAAGGCCACTGGTTAATATCCCGTGGTTAAGCTGATTTCATCATCATTGTAAATCAAAGTGTCTAGCAAATGAATAAATTTAAATATAAATATCACCTGATAAGCAAACATCCAGATTTAGTAGTTTAAGAATCTGACTCTATAACTGACCCCAACCAGAGAAATGTTCCCAAACACTGAATGCGGTATAATCTATGGTTGTAGCTGATGGCTCTTCAACAAACATTCACTGTAGTACTCTCAAATACTCACTGTTGTAGCCGAAGAAACCAGTGGCCTGTTTTTGTGTGGTGGCTGGAATCAGAGTTCCCACTAAGTAGTTGATGAAGGAGATCATGAGGATGCCAAAGAACAGAAGTTGTGTCTTGGGAGATAAGGGAGGCAGAATGTGTGAAAAATATTTTTATTATATGGCTACACATAAAACATCCCGAAAGATTCCAAAAACACAACATGATTCACTGGCGTCTTTTTGTTAAATGCCATTACAGGCAGTCCCCATGATACAAATGAGATCTGTTCCCTAAGTCTTTGTTTATTGAGTTTGTAGGTAAGTTGGAAAAATAACAACACAGTACGCACTACTATTACTACTCTAATTACTACTAGTCATACTACTACTACTACTACTACTACTACTACTGCTAATAATAATAATAATAATAATAAAAAATAGAACACTAATAATAAAAGTAACTACATATGGTGCTGTACTGTACCTTGAGCTGACAAACTACTGAAGCCATGAAATGTTTTGCATCACAAAGTAACGCGTGCGTTCATTACTACGAACCATTGTACTTAACCCAAATTAATATAATAAGCTTAACAGCAGTCCGTTCATAAGTATGAGTTCACCAAAAGACGGATGTTCTTAACCCAGGGACTGCCTGTACAACCAAAGAAACTAGTGTACAGGATAGAAGGAGAATAGAGGGGTTACCTTGGATTCCCACTCCATGCCAGCCAATGAAATGAGCAGTAGCCCAGTGATGGCAACCACACCCACAATCCTCACATCATTTACTGGGTCAACAATGGTCGCATTATAGTCCTGCATCAGACGTGATAAAAATGTAAACTATTGACTATAATTGTAACTACGACTATAACTTTAAAAGAAATTCACAAAATTAGTAGCAGCTTATAATACACAAGCCTACAATTACATTCTGATACTCCTGTGAACTCAGTGTGAAAATAATAATAATGTACAACATTAAATCTATGGATATCTTTTGCAAGTGTTTTTAATTTTTTTTTTTGTATTTTAATTTTTTTCAATCACACACACACATACATACATAGATACATACATAAATGCAGTCAGCCCTCGTACATTCACGCTTCGTGATTCGCGAATTCACAGATCTGCAAAGATTTCATTCTAGTTTTTTATTAAATATTTTTAATGTGTGTATGTATTTTTGTTCTCTCTCTTTTTCGTGGTTAGCGTACACATAGCATTTTTACAACTTATTATTTCTGTACGTCTTTACGTAATTTTTAATTGATTTAATACCTGTACCCTGTACATATAGTACATGTTTCCTTTACGTATTTTATTGAATTGTACCTTGGTGAGGTATATGATTTCTGTCAATAAGTTTACAGTCCCGTTCGTTTACTCATTTTACCTTACTGTGAATGCAAAAGAAAATGGCGGTCAATGCCGTGTTCTATGAATCAGTAGGGGTAACATTAGTATACTGTACTGAAAAATGTGCTAGTGTGACAAATATCAGTTAGGCGATACTGTACTCTATTTTTACATCAAACATTTGTTTTTTTTAAAGATAATGTATTAAGCTAACATATAAATGAAATTTAAATGTTTTGGGAACATGACTGGGGTCATATTTAGGGTTTAAACTATAGAAATAAGCACATATTACCTTTTTTAGTGACTCTACCAAACATCCGTGAATCCTTCTCATTCTCGACAGGTTCTGGAACTTAACCTCGCGAATGTCCGAGGTCTGACTGTACATACTTAAACACATACACACACATTCAAGCAGTGCTCAGGTTATGAACAAGATCTGTTCCCCAAGTCTGTTGTTATGTTGAATTTGTAGGTAAGTTGGAAAACTAATAATATGAATACTACTACTACTGCTGCTGCTACTACTACTACTACTACTACTACTACTAATAATAATAATAACAATAATAATAATAATAATAATAATAATGAGGAACCACTGCAGGTGTACAATGTTTTCACGAGTATCACAAAGTAGTGTGTGCATTTGTTATTATGAATCATTGTATTTACCCTGAATATTTAATATAATGGACTTTATATTAAATATACATGTAGGTGTGTGTGTGCGCGTGTATATAATAGTGACCCATATTTCACTTCAGCTTACTCTGAGAAGATCACGGACAGTTTCAGCAAAACCAACGGTGTTTAAGGCAGAGGCGAGTGCATTAGCAAAGGAGTAGACCATACCAATAGGACCTCCTATCTCAGGGCCGAGAGTTCGAGAAATCATAAAGTAGGTGCCCCCTAGAAGGCAAGAGAGAAATTAACTATAGGAAATTATACAGAGAAGGAAAGCAGAAGACATCAATACCCAGGACATAAAAAATAAGCATACATGTAACAGCCCTCACCTGAGGAGACTTTGCCATTGGTAGAGATAGCGGAGACAGACAGGGCAGTTATTGAGGTTACAATGACGGACAGGAAGATGATGAGCCAAGTCAAAACTGAGGAGAATATTTTGGAGACTTGTTACAATATCATGCACACACTGCCTATTCGATAACTTAAAAGACCTCATATAAATTGCTTCAGGCAACAAAATCAGAGAACATGCAAATTCTGTGGGAATGTCTGATGAAAATATCAATAGAGGGATTGATAGAAAGTGGAACCAAACAAGAGGTACACAACAAACATCACATTGAAGCTGTCAGAAAAAGAACTTGATTTGGTGCTTTAAAACAGCTTTGGAACTTTCATGAGCAATGAATTACTTTTAACAATGACAAACAATTGATTTAGTCAATACCAATGTAAATAAGATTTCCTGACTACTGTATATATAATAATGTGCAAAATGCCTGGCAAACATGGAATACATAGAAAAGCTTATAAAGCAAAGCAAGGTTGTGAAAGATTAGAGCTGGGCAAAAGTAATGAAGGGAGGAGAGAAAGGAAGAGATAAAGAGACAAGGATGCTATTAGAGAGAACTTACGGATGCCAGCTTGGGATGTAATCCAGGGCAATCGCAGAAAGAGAATGACCCCCCAGATATTCAGCATGCAGCGGACCTACAACACCACTGCCATCAGTATCATAAACAGAGTCAATATTACCAACCTATAACAAAACGTTAAAACAGCTACTAGCTCTATCAATGAAGCAATCTGCAGAGTTGCAACCACAACTTTCTAAACAGTGAATATTCCTTGTTAGTAATGAAAGTGTCCAACTATCATTCATTCTAAAGTAATGCTTTTCAACATTTCTTCAGCTAAGCTGCTGTCTGCACAGGTTTTTACCGTGAATATGGTCCACATAATCACCCTAGTGTTGCTGATTTGTGTGTTTCTGCGTTACTTGCTTCAGACTTACCATAACACCAGTCACCCAGCCAAAGCGCACTGGCTGAGCTTTTGGCTTCCGACTCCCATTCACCACTTGCTGCTCCAATTCTGGAACAGGAGCATTTCCTGTTTCCACAACAACAGGCTGGCTGCTCAGCTCCACATCCTGTCGCACACAATGATAGATATCAATTAATACTGAGAGACACAAACACACATCAACTCACAAAGATCAACCCACCATTAACGAAAAACCGATCAGTGCACCAAAAATTCTGAAAATGCCAACTTTTTGTGTGTGTGTGTCTTAATCGTTAGGAAAGCGCACTTGTAATTGAAAGATTGCTAGTTTGAATCCCTGTCCAGCAAGGTATCACTGAGGTACCCTGAGCAAGATACCGCCCCCAAGCACTGCTCCCCAAGCGCTGAATTAGCTGCCCCCTATGTCACGATGTCACATACGGGTTAAATGCAGAGGACACATTTTGTTGTGGTGTCAATACTGGTCATCAATTTAATTTTTATACTCAGTGCATGTTATTATAACCCAAGTAGTAACAATATATTATTTCATCATTGTGAAAAAAATTATTCATATGAAAGAGCAACTGAAAGATATCGTAAGATTATATATGTACATCGACTGCCTTTCGAAGATTCTCCAGAGAAGGCCTGCTTCGTCGAACCCTGCCTGTGGCAGTTGTGTTGGTATAGAAGTCTAGTTGTGGCAGAGCATCTATGTTACTATAGATGGATGGACGGCGTAACTCCTGCCGGGAATCCTTCCTCTCAGATGTCTGGTCAGAAGCCTCGGGTGCAGTTGTGACACGGTTTTGGAATCCTGGGCCATCGCTGTGGTTGATGCTATAAATACTGGCTGCACTGTTGCTGTGGCCATCGCCTCTGCAGTAAGAGTACCTTGGAGGGGCCTCATCGCTTACAGAAAACCGACCTTGTGGTAAGTTTTCCAAATCCTCAAGACTATGTTTTGATGTCCGCTGACCCATTATACAGACCTTTTTTTAGGGTAAGGTTCTATTATTTATGGAGTTCTGTCAGAATGGAAAGAAACAACAGATAAGGCTTATATATTTAAAACAGAATCAAGGTTTATTCATGCATTTCCAATTTATACAAAAACATCTGACACTTATTGTTTACATCATCACCTCTATGTTATTAATACTGCTGCTTTTATGTTATGATAGCCTTTTCTTCTCTTATTTGCCTGAATATCTTATAGTAGCCAAGTTAAAATCAAAGTTATATATGTATGAAGACAAACCCATTACTGATGAATTCCTAATAGCAAATTGTGCTCCTACATTAATTGCATAGAAAGACGTAATGCTGCCGTTTTGTTCTCAAGAGCAAAGTACTATAACGGCTGTTTCTCCTATCAAATCAACATATCAATTTCCAATTCTCACAGTATACAAATTCATTACATTCTAGCGAGGATCACTTCGGAAATATGGCGTATACGCCAGAAAACATGGTTTAAGGAGAGGTCGGCTCAGCTCTCATTTTTTTTTCTATAAACACGTTAATTCGCACAATCACCTTCTCACGCACATTTCTGTCGATTTAGACAATGTAAGCAAATAGTTATGTAGGTACTTTGTATAAGTAAAATCGAGAAAATCACATTACCAACATTAAAACTTGTGAAAAAAAATAGTATTTTCTTACCTTCTTTTGTCCGTTTGTCAACATATATAGTTATTAATTGCTTCTCTTAGGATGACCTGGATTCACACTTTGCATTCTGTGATTTACTGAATTCATTCACTGGAATTTATACCTGAGACAGGTTCCCCCTCCATCCCCCTTATATGCAAACAAGACACCGAGCGTGCTCAAGTAGTCGTTACATATTTATTTACACAGTCATTCTTTCGTTTATTCTTTACGACACTCCACCTTCATTTCTAAGTACAGTTCGATTTTCTTGCGTTGTTCCTGTAATAAACAAATTAACATCTATGTCTGATAACCCTTAATTTACTGGTCGTCGTATACATTTTATTTATTTTAATATGTTTTATGCCGATATATAAAGCAATACAAACTACATGAGAACGATTAGGGAACAATTATTGGAAAAATATGGAAATGTACCTCAAATTTACTTAGCCTTTAACGTCGCTAAAATTGGATCAGCAACTACATTGGTGTTATTTTCTTTTTCCACCTACATTTACATGGACTGAATACATGAATAGAAGACTAACGTGTATGTTTATTTAGGAGTGTTTTAAGTATGGGCAGTCTTCCAGTCCACCTAAAGTGAATACAATGATAGTTCTTTGGCCTGTCAAAATATATAGAATGATTCAAAATATGTGCAGTTCATCTACAACGACAAAAAGAACAGATGTTTTATCTTCCACATGACATATACAGGTAACACCATCCTTCCGTCCATATTCTATGACTACGCCAGTCGATCGTTAGATGCAGAAGGCAGAAGGGGATGTCAGTCCGTCAGGGAGCGTGGCGTTTCGTATAGCAAAGGGTTGTAGCGGCATTCCGTTTTGTTTCTTCTGTAGCACCTTTTGAAGCCAGTCTAACAACTAGTATTTGAAACGCAAAGGTGACCAGATAATCTATTTAAAAATGTTTACTTGGATACACGAATTATACAGGGAACTCGTGACTCGGTCAAGAAACCTGCGTTGCTTCTCTGGTTTCAAACTACACTACGTCCAATCAGCAAAAAGTGACGTATTACTATTTGCCGGAAGCTCAAAATACAAAAAATATTTTAGAAATTATACATCGCTAAATTATGCATTTTAACAAAAGTTATATCTATAAGTTCTGATGAAATTAAATAATTAGTATTTTTTAACCCTTTTAAAAATTAAATTATTACTTCAAAGAATTGTATCCTGTTTGGATTTAAAGTTTAATAGTATTAAAAATTGTATCATTATGAACAGGTCTATAATAATAATAATAATAATAATAATAATAATAATAATAATAATAATAATAATAAAGAAACCAAATAATGACCCAGAAAAAATACATTTCAAGTATAAATTTCAATTACGAATGACCATTCTTATCATTGTTACCAGACAGACTAATCTTCTTATAAATTACAATAGGCTTCCCATCCATGATGTTCCCTGCCTTATGCTGCCTGGGATAGGCTGCAGGGACCCTACACCTCTGTGATGGAAGTGGCTGGGAGACAGGTGCCTGGGATAGGCTGCAGGGACCCTACACCTCTGTGGGTTATATCTCTAGATGTGTGGAGTTTAAGTCAAGGGAGGTGATGTTACACTTATATAATTCCTTGGTAAAGACCCCACCTAGAATACTGTGTGCAGGTTTGGTCACCATACCTCAAGAAGGACATTGCTGCCTTGGAAAAGGTGCAACGAAGAGCTACGAGAATGATTCCTGGTCTTAGACGAATGTCTTATGAGGAGAGGTTAGCGGAACTGAATCTGTTTAGCCTTGAGCAAAGGAGACTAAGGGGG